CCCCAAAACCCCAAAACCCCAAAACCCCTACTCGGCTTGGTATGATTGGACTAATAAGGGCTAAAAATTAATCTAGCTGGGACGGAATTCCCATTTTCAAGGTCTTCTCTGCAATCACTGATCTTCTTGAGTATTTCTTTGTTCATGAGAAATTCCTCATCATTCATCTCCGTTTGTTTTTGCTTGATGGGTTGGGAATTCTTAACTTCTTTCTCCTTCTGAGTCTTGATCATGACCTTTAAATTCTCCTCGGCTTGTGCAATTTCATCATTCTGTAATATTTGTTGAGCCTCTGCGTATTTCCGATGTTGTGCAAGCCGTTTTTCGTTAACCTTCATCCTGATTTGGCTTTCTAATACATCTGTTCTTTCCCTCTTGTTTTGTTCGATTTCTATAATAAAATTTAGAGAGTTACTAGCTTTGTTTTGTTGCTCTTTTTGATGCTCGATTTGTTGCTTTTGATGGATTTCTTTATTGAGTCTGCCTTCTTCCCTTTCTAGTTTCTGTTTTTCAATGTTGTTTACTATAAGAGTTATATAAGAGGTACTATTTTGTCCAAGAACTTGCATTCGTCTTTCAACTCTTTGTAATCTATCTTCTCTCTCCTTCTTTCTTTTCAATTCTTGTTGAATAAGGAGTTCTTCTTGCATCTAAAATCATTCGTAATTTTCCACCCAAAATTCAACTTAAACACCTCCTTTTTCACATTTTCAAAAACCTGCTCCCATAAAATCCAACATCAAACTCATTCCCTTCTTTCAATCCCTCACATACCTCCAATCACTTCTTATCCTCCTCCTTCTCTCTCCTAGCTTCATCCAACTTCTTCTGTCTCATATCCATATTCTCTTCAATAATCTTCCTAAACTCATCTCTTTGCTCTATAAGCCTCTCTTTCCTCTGCTTTTCCTCTTTCTCTTCCTTACTCTTCACCTGCTCTAACATCTCCTTCTCTTCCTTCAGTTTCTGGTCCTTAAACAGCCTTCTATTAGACTTCATTTGGTCAATCTGGCGGTCAAAGAAGGCCTTCTCCTTCCTCATATTCATAATTCTCTGATGAGCTTCCCTTGATAATTCCCGTTTTGACCTCTCATGCGCTGAAGCCAGAGTATCTGCAACTTGCTGCTTCTCTAAAGGATCAGAGTTAGTGAAATGTTTAGGAGAATAAGAGTTAAGCTTACCTCTTCCTTGCTCCTTTTGGAAATCCCTGTGCTCCTTTATTTGAGAGTCCAGGTTCTTACGGATTTCAGAAATTCGTTGTAACTTTTGTTGTTTCTCTTGCTTGGTTCGAAGAGTGTGTAGGACTTGAGAAAAATTTTGGAGAGCTGACCAGCCGTTAGCTTTAGTTGGATTCTGAAGCCTGATAAGAGGTCCTTGGTTCTTATAAGGCTCGACAAGATGTTTCTGAGTATTACATGAAATCTTAGAGAGATCAATCAAGCCAGTATTCGAAATCTCCATATTTTGTAGAGTCTCGCTCGTATTTAAGACATTTGGGACTGGTTGGATTTTATTTCCTCGAATCTAACGATCTATATAAATGCTCTCTCTTAGTTGGTCTTTTAGAGTAGTTTCTGCTAGAGGAGTAGGTAGTTTTGGGTAAAAGACCGAAATTTGATTTTGAAGGTGTCTGAGGAGATTTTAATGGCGGAATTTGAGTTTGGATTGTTTTTTGGTTCCGAGAGGTATTTTTTTGGTTATTTTTGAACAAGAGGAAGCTGAGTAAAGGTTTGATTTGTGTAGTGATTAGCAGGGCTGTAATTTGAGTTTCTGCTATTAGGGAGAATATTTAAGTCTTGATTTGAATTTTGTTTCTTGATATCTTGATAGCTTCCCAATTGAGGTGTAACAGAACTGTTCTTTCTCTTACCTGCTTCAGAGAGATTATGGTATTCGCTGTCATACACATTCTGATTAGATAAATCTCTTCTCTGAGTTTTTAATTTAACATTCTTATCTATTATTTAAGATTTAAAAATATTACATCCTTTATCAGCCCCATTCTTTATATTCTGTTGTCTCTCTACCTTATTCTGAATTTCTTTCAAATGCTTATAAGTCAAAATCAGATTTTTTGACATAAAACAATCAACTTCCCTCTCAACCAAGTCCAATAAATGCTTATTCCCTTTCCTAGACTGTGCCAGCTCCTTTCTCAACTTCCCTATACCATCTCATCTCCAAACCTTCACTCTCTTACCTCATTTCCCCCTTTTGACACTTTCTTCTCCTCCCAAGATCCCTTCCAGCATCTTCAAAGAAGGAACTCCTGTGATACTTTTCATAATTCTGCCCACAATTATAACTGCTTAAACTTATTCCTCCTTCTCTCAGCCATTCTGGTATTCCTAAAATATCCCTATCCTCACTTACTTAGCCTGGTTCTTCTGCATCCTGTGTTCAGAATGGTTCTGTCTTAGCCGGCATGACTCCATTTTATTGGATTGGGATAAATAAATTTATTTGGGATTTAAGTCAGTGGAGATAGACAGTTGGGGTTTTGGGGTTTTGGGGTTTTGGGG